AATGAATTCAGGAACGCAATGTTGTCACGTCTTCGTGTGTATAAGAAATGTTAGTTAGATATAAAGATGTAATTATTGAAGAATGACGATTGGATTGTTAATGAGAATAGCTGTGGAATTAGTAAGTGAATAATATTGGTTTTCTGATTTAAATTTCTTCATCCCTTTTCACTGTCTTTCTTCTCTATTAACTTCTGCTATTACTTATATTCAGCTACTTACATGTTAATATCGAAACAGATTATTAGAAACAATCAGAAAAAAAATACGAATAGGTATTATGTCATTCACAAATTCAAGAACATATAAAAAATATGAAAAAAAATCAAAAGTCCCCCCTCCCCTCTTTTTGCTATGCATATCAAGTTCCCGTTTTCTATGTGCACCAACTCATATCTCTCCCGTTTTTTCTATCTTTAACCAATATCCCGTTTTCTATCTCCACCCAATTTCCCGCTTTCTATCTCTCTCGCCTCTCCTCCCGCCGGCCACCACGAGCTTCACCTGCATGAGGAAATAAGGGGACATGGCGTTGGTGTTCATGAGCCGCGTCCAGGTGTCTTCGGAGGCCTCAGCAATCGGCGTCGGGAAGAAGAGCGAGGCGTTGTTGACGAGGAGGTCGAGGCGGCCCCACTGCGCCTGCGCCTCCGCCACCAGCCGCTGCGCCGTCGCCGCCACCGACGCGGACAGGTCGCCGGAGATCACGTGGGCGCTGTTCGCTCGCGCGCTGGGGGAGGCGGGGTCGGATTTTATTGCTATTGTTATTATTATTATTATTATTACTGTTATTATTATCATTATTGTTATTATTATCATTTTTTATTATTATTACTGTTATTATTATTATTATTGTTATTATTGTTGTTGCTTTGTTGTTATTGTTATAGTTGTTGCCATCATTATCATTACCATCATCACTATCATTATCATAATTATCACTATTGTTATCCTCATGATTATTATTAGTTTTATCATTATCATTATCATCATCATCATAATCATTATTATTATTGTTAATATTATTATTATTATTGCTATTATTGTTTTGCCATTGTTGTTGCTATTATTATCACTATTACATTATTATCATTATTATTTTTATTATCATTATTATCAAGCCCAAAGATTATGCAATGGGGTCACGCATGTGTCGAAGGTCCGGGTGTCGCGAAAGTGAAAAGTTTGTGATAAATTGGCTTAATTAACCGTTAATTAACCCTTAATCTGGAGATGGATTAGATTGATCCAGCGTCTGAAACTCACCCGCCCTTTCTGCTTTTAGTAATGCTCTTATTAATGTCTCTGTCACGGCAAAAAATCACTTCATTACAGCACTCAAGCGCCCTATTATATAAGATTGCCCTCATGTATTTGGGGATTGCAGAATGGCACTCACCTGTTGAGCTCGTCAGCAACGGCCTGCGCCTCCGTCCTCGAAGTGTTGCAGTGAACGACCACGTTGAAACCTCGCCGGTGCAAAGCGAACGCGATGGCTTTCCCGACTCTCCGCGCTCCCCCCGTGACCAGTGCCACTCGGCCCTCCCCCCACTGGCTGTCTGGCACTGCGGGGTCATGGAAACCATTAGTCCCTGTGCTCTTCTCCATGGCTCACTCGGTACTTCCTGAGGCTCCGGCGCGCGTGAGAAGACTGGCGAGCATCACTTGTTTCACTGATGCTGACTCAACAGCAAGGGCGGGGAAAGTGAGGGCGGGGCTGGTGGAAAATCACGCTTGTTCGCACACAAACACACAGACACACGCACGTGCGCGCGGGCACGCAAACGCACACACACACACACACATACACACACGCGCGCGCGCATATACACACACAGAGGAATGAGATTAAGTATGTCTATTGTGTTTCTTTAAAATGTGTTACGACATCTTACTGAATACCACGTGGAAATAGTAGGTGCTTGAGTGCTTCTGTATTGACGTGTAAAAGTTGTGTTACCTGCTTGTGTAGAGGAAGCCCATCTTTTCAGGTTGTGTAGTAATGCCAAACGCTTGTGTGTAATTGTTTGTAACGGACCTATTCATGTGAACGTTTGGTAATCGGTTAGAAAAGTAGGTGCTGGGGAGATACTGAGATTGCCATCCTCAGTGTATCCACTATGTCAGGAGAATGTAATATGTGTTGTATAAGAGTGTGTGTCTCGATATATATGTATGTTGTGGCTCTGGGTATTACAACAAGGTGCCCCACACATAAGAGCGAATAACTCTGAACTTGCATTTATTCTGCAAAGTGCAATTGGAAATCCTAAAGGAGAGAGAGATGGACCAAACGACATTAAACTCCATCTCTTCGGCCTGATGTGTGTGGTTTGACTTAATGACTCTTGCCGCTATCAGAATGTGAAGAGTACGTTCAGCACGAATGTTTATAAACTTATATCAGTGACGTAACTGTAGCTTCAGGAGGGCCCAAGAGAAAGTAATTCCCAGTCAGTGTCAAGGAGGCTGGAAGCGCCTGCAACCCGCAAGCATTTCTTCG